AATAATAAAGCTTAATAACCATATGCCATAGAAAACAGTTGTGGTATTAAGGTAAAACTAAATATTTTCTAATCTTGACTGTTTATAAAATATATTGTAATAAGTGAGCTACAAGTTTTAAACTATTTCAAAAGCGTAAGTTATATTTAATTTATTATAAATAATGATAAATAACTTCTTTTATTAGGCATATGAAATTAATTTATGGAATACGTATGCTATCTATAGAGATTATGATAGAGATGTATGGAGTAGAGACCATTGAAATGGAGGAAAATAGAAGATAATCATGAAATCACAGATTAATGAGCAAGAAGAGTGAAGAGCGATTCATCCATGATCATCCATGATTCATCTATGACAATTCATATTTGCATGATGTACGGTATGTATGTACATCAGCCAAATTTTGTTTTTCTTAGTTTTATATATTTTATCAGTTTGATTAAGACATGTTTTTGATGAGAGGGGCAAAGGATCTTATGAGTTGTTACATCAAAAAAGTTAGAAATGAGCACAGAAACATTTAGGATAAAATTTCTAACCTCCAAAAATTGTTTTTGTTGTTTATCTACTAGAAATTTAAGTAAATATCCTTTACGGGTAATATGAATGAAGTAAAATTATGTTGTTATATTTTCAATATGCATTTTTAGAGCTGTGTTAAAGTGTTTCTTAATAATAGTGATGTGCTATATTTTTCTATTGGCCCCAGCAATTTTCAATTAGAAGACGATGAGTTGGGAATAAGTTCCTTATATGCAAATGTGCTTAATCTGAGAGAAAATGATTTAGTAGAAATGTGCATAGTAAATAACGTTTCTGCTGTAAAATCGTTGACATTGTCAGCTACATGTGCTGATGACTATGAAGTTTTGGTCAGTATTAAAAAGACATTTTGTGAAGGAAAATTAAAATACTTCTTGTAGGAATTATTAGCAGAGAGTGTACAAAATACTCTTTTAAATCACGTCACAGTAGTTAATAAAAATCAAAAGGTTATCATATGGGTTTCTCCTTTTTTACATGTTAATGTTAATATTGGTTTGTTTGTTAATAATTAAATATCAGTACAAGTTACTGATGCTTATATTTTAGATGAAGTGCGTCCTACCTCTCCTGGTCATTTAGAAAATCTTACAGAAGTTATTATAAAACCACCAACTAAAGTTAAAACTGATATTACAGAACATAATAATATGTCTGTGTTTGATATGTTCCAGAGTAGGGTTCCTTTAACAAATTCAGAATATGTTTTTAATAAGTTTAGTAAAGAAATAGAGCCCCAGGTTTTTAGATTGCATCCTTTAGACGATCTGAAAAAAGTTTTTGGTGAAATCCCTAATTCTGACCAGTACTTCAATGTTTTTATTAGACAAAAAGATTTATCAGGGTTACTAAGAAAAACTGCAAGTGGTAAAGTGGACAAGTTATTTCTTTTAAAAGTAATTGTACCACCTTATGTTTCTGTCCAGGGTTTCATTGCTGAAAATTTGCAAGTAGAGACTGTGAGGGTTCAATTAATAGTAATACAGGATTTTTTTAAAACAGAAATTGATTTCGAGTCTTGTGATTTCTCAGTAATGTTTTGTCACCAAAGTTTATTTAAAAATTTTAAGTTAAAAGTAGGTTCAAAAGTGATATTATATAGCCAATTACGTGATACATCTTCTGTAGATAGCATTATTATTCTTACAAAATCAGTTTATTTGAATGATGTGGAGGAAATGCTTAAATATTACCTGGCAAAAAACTGCAAACAAGGACCCGTGCTTTTAAACGCAGACTTCCCTTTTCAATTGGATGACAAAAATATGGTTTGTGCTTTAAAATTTGAACCATCGTCCAAAAGTTATTGTATTCTGGATAGTGATAATATAAGAAAAATAAAATATACTGTTGTTGAGAAAGAAGTAGAAATTATAAGAAATGAATCAGAAGAACAATTCATTACGTTTAATGAGTTAGATGTTTGCACAGAAGTTGGAAATTATCGCCAAATCTTTGAAAATGTTTGTAATATACTACAAAAAAGTTTAAACCGTAATTCCTACGAACTTGAAGGCATTGTTATATCTGGTAGGTGCTGATAGTAAATATTTTTTTGAGATGTTTTGCAAAAAAATATTACTATTACTTTACTTTTTTATATTAAAAAAAGCATTGATCTTTAAACAGAAGTAACTAATATTTGTTTAAATTTCCTTTTGACTCAATCTTATTAGACGTTTCAGCGTTTGCCATAAAAGGAAATACGTGTTTTCTTTTTCATTTAAGGAAAATCTGGTTCTGGCAAAACAACTCTTCTTAATTTAATAAAAAACAAGTTGTCTGATTCTCCGTTTCGATTACATTTTGAAATCGTAAATTGTGGTACCCTCAAAGGAAAAACTCTGGATTCCTTATCACGTATGTTGTACTGTAATATAGTAAGAGCAATATACTTTCAACCATCAGTCATCCTTCTTGATGATCTGAACGCTATTTGTGGCAAAGTTGAACGAGAAATACAAACGCAAGAATCGGTTGTTGTTAATAGGCAAGATCATAAAATTCATATACAGTTGGATTTTTATTAATTGTCGTTTTTCTAGATCTAGTGAAATTGTTAGGGATTTGTTAAACATTTATTTAACGCATAATCAGATTCAAGTAATTGCAACATGTGAAAATATTACTCAAATAAATGAGTACATCCTGCCTGCTAGAGGAAAAAGAGTTTTGTGGCATCCATTTAAAATAGAAGATCTGAATCAGGTGACCATATTAAAAATACAAAAAGAAAAATACGATTTGTAATATAAAATAAAGTCGAGAGTTGCTAAATAATTAATCAAAATTAATTAATATACAAATAAGTGAAAATGATGATCAATTTACTGCCAGTGATGATGAAGAACTATTTGGAATTCGGTTTTCAAAATTTCTGAGGAAAAATTATCCTTTCAACCAGAACTCTCTTTGAATGGATAGACATGCATTAATTTTTTTTATATTTATATACGTTTATTTTGTTAATTGTAGATGTTTGTTACATATTAAACATAAAACATTCGTTAACGTTAAAATATAGAAATGCACTGTCGTCCGTTTTTTTCTTTAATAAGTTCTTATTTTTTTTTTAGAGTGATAGGCTCTCTCTCCTGCGTTTCTTATTTTCAAACAAAACTAACTTAGACGTGGTCGATTTGGAAAAATATACGTCTCAAATGGACGGTTTTGTAGTTCAGGATCTGGTGGATTTTACAAATAAAGCAATTTTTGAGTCTATTAAAGAAGGTACATTGAAAAATAAAGTTCTTATTTAAATTATTATAACGTTACAAATTATTATATAGTACAGTAAAAGTCGTAAAACATAACAGATTTACTTAAATTTTAATTAATTTATAAAAGTATAATGATAAGCTAGAATGAACTTTTTGCATCTCGAACTTCGTTATCAATTCATTTTTTTTAAAAATGAAATATTAAATGATTAATTTCAATGTTTTAATTTTTTGTTGTTTCAATTGGTTTCTGAAATTCGTTGAAGTTTAGTACACTAAAAAAGCTAGGCAAATTCTATCTAATAGGTGTTTCTAAAAAAAAAAATAAGACATGTATTTTATATTACTTTTCTCTTTTCTAGGATGTTCGCAAGTATCTTCAATTCATTGTGATAATGTTTTTTCCAATTTTTCTCCGGTTTCTTTACAAAATATTAATACCCATAGTTTTGGAGATAAAGACTTTTCTGATGTGGGTGGTTTAGAAGATGTTAAAACAATTCTCATAGAAAGTCTTCTGTGGCCTTTACAGGTATAGTATAATTATGATAATTTAATATATTGGTAATACATTTCTTATTTTTTTAGTATCCTCATTTGTTTGCCTCTGCTCCCCTTCGTCTTCAGACTGGAGTACTGCTATATGGGCCTCCTGGTACAGGAAAGACTTTGGTAGCTGGAGCTGCAGCCAAACATTGCAATTTAAGATTAATAGCGATAAAAGGTCCAGAATTACTTTCAAAATACATTGGAGCTTCTGAACAAGCTGTAAGACAAATTTTCGAAAAGTGTGTGTGCAGAGAAATAGTTATTCTGTGAAAATAAACGCTTCTTTTTTTTTCTTTTAGAGCTCAAAGTGCCAAACCTTGTATCCTATTTTTTGATGAGTTTGATAGTTTTGCTCCAAGGTAAAATTTGTATCTTTCTTATTTTCAGTGTGTTGCTTTCAAATTTGCAATTGGTAAAGAAACACTAAGTTTAAATGCAAAATAGGTAAATTGGTTTTGTTTATCGAGTACTGTTTTTTTTTTCAATTTTTAAAATAGAAGAGGTCACGATAGTACAGGTGTAACAGATCGAGTTGTTAATCAACTGCTAACACAGTTAGATGGCGTTGAAAGTCTGAGTGGAGTTTGTGTTTTGGCTGCTACTTCTAGACCCGATCTTTTGGATCCCGCGCTTCTTCGACCGGGTCGGTTAGACAAACAAATTTTTTGTCCGTTTCCAGATTCAGTAAGTTATAATACAATAACATCTAACGAGTTAGTGGATAAGATTGTTAACTTAATATTAGTAATCGCTAATCTGGACCAAATCGGTCTATAACAAAAACATTTGTTTAAAGCACCCATTTTGTATAAAATAACTAAACAGTTAGATCTTTATATGGGGAAGCTTTTTACTTGCGTATAATTAACGAAAAATAGACTTTATCCGGACATTATAATTTAAATTTCAGCACCTTAGGTGACCCCCCTTCTTTTTCTGCATAAATATTTTATAGATAGTCACGTATGCAATTCGTAGGCAAGTATTTAATTTCAAAATTTAATTCGTTGTAACTTCTGCAAAAATTTATATTTTGGGTTGTATAATTACTTACAAGGATGAAATGTCACAACGAAAAAATTAGTCTCTATTGAATGGTTGAGTGGTTGATTAGAGAAAGACATAAAGTAATAGCAAAGTATGTACAGCAATTTTTTTTCTTAAGGCAGCAAGATTAGCAATTTTAAAAGCTCTTTCAAAATCTGTAAAATTTGCTAACAACGTAAACCTATCAGAAATTGCTAATTTAGCAGAAAACTATTCAGGAGCTGATCTGCAGGGCGTTTTATGTACAGCACATCTAGCAGCTGTCGAAGAAGCCATGGGACACGATAAGGTTTGATTTTTTTTATTTATTTCTATTTATAGTTTTATTAAAGTAATTTTCGTTAGTAAGAAGTAGGGTCGTTACTTCGAAGAATGGTTGGACTTTCACTCTTTCCTATTCTCTTTCCAATCTTCGCATTTCCTGAAAACCAAAATATTCCACACCCATAACTGTTTCCTCTGCCCCTTTACTCCTGTTTCTGCTTCTAGTATGTCTGTGATTATTTTGGGTCTACAGTTTTTTTCATCGACACTTCTACTTTTTCGTCTCCAAAGTACATATAATAAATTCATTTTTTTTACTTTTCTAATTCGAACTGACGTATATTTTTGGTTATTTTAACTTCTTTATAGATTTTTACTTTTTGCAATATCAGATGCGAAATGCATTTATAGTTGCTTTTCTTTCTTTGTTAAAGACTTTCATTCCCTTCTGTTATTTACTTGCTGTTTTATTTTATTCATAATTACTTATCGTACAGTTTTCTTAAGAGCCGCTCCTTGATAAAACGTTACGCTTGATAATTACTAATTAATAACGCGCAAACTAGGCATTTAAGCGGCTGATTGATATCTAGATGACTTTGTAACGTGCAACGTGTTACTAATATTCTACGTTGTGGCTCTAACGTAAATTACTTCCATAATAATAGGCGTTCTACCATAAAATCTCATTAGGGAGCATAATGAATGGGACGGTTCAATAATCTGTGAAAATACGGCAGACCATAACGTTACAATTTGAATTGCACAGGATAGACTTACACACTATGGAGGGTAGTACATATGTATGTACAATAATAAAATAAAACACAAAATTGGAGTACTTATAACTTTATCTTATTTTTTTTAAGATATATGTTATGAGTAAAGTACGTCGTTGGAAAATGACCACTGCTAGCCTTGGTCAGGGGTGAACGCATAAAATACTTTCGGGGGTGGGGGGTTCATAAAAAATATTTAAAAAGTTACTTTTCTAGAATTGCATTATACGTCCAAATTTGATTGTTAAATTCTATGTAGTTGTAGTAGGTATATGAAAATTTACGTACCTTCTATCAACAAATTACTGCAAATTTTTCGTACATTTTGGGGGGTGGTTAGAACCCCCAAAATCCTCCCTTGCGTTCGTGCCTGACCTTATTTGTTCAAAAACGACCATTGCTAGTTGTGGTCGTTTGAAGTATAGTATAAAACGACCACGATTGTCGATCTATTTTATTTTCAAAATGACCTTTGCTACTATCACTATACAAAGTCCGCCTAGCCTTCCTCCGGGTTTTAGCACAGCATCAGGAGTTTCTTTTAATTATTTTAACCTCATATAATATTACTATTTCATTACTATTAATTACACAGTAATATTTAAATGATTGATTATGAATACCTTATTTAAATTTGAAAAATAAATTTTTCGTGAAGAATTTTAATTGCCTCGACCAAAGCTTATCTAGACTAGAGCAGTGATTTCCAAAATATGCTCCGCGGCTACTCGGAGCGCCGTGGTGTCATAAGGGTGCCACGAAATATTCAATTAAACAATTCGGAAATTTGTGTATGCTGATAATATTCCAAGGATTTAGCAACTTTCGGGTTTTCCAATTTTTCAAGAGTCAAAAATTTAGAAAAAATCGTATCAATTAAAGGCGTCGCGGAAAAAATCCGATTATTTAGGGAATCGCAAACCGAAAAAGATTAGGAAATTCTAATCTAGTGTATGCAAAAGATTACTCTAGATCAGGGCTGACCTCAAATTATTTTTACGGCCCTCGAGTACATTTTACTATGAATAAATTTATGTTACTAAATTAATATTATTGATGTTGTTGCTAAACAATTACGGCCACAATGTTATCATTAATAAATTACGAATATTTTAGAGTTTTACCTTTAGTATAACTAAATATTTTTTGATTAACATAAACTGACTACATTTATAAATTTTCTTGAACCCCGAAATGTTTGATGAAGAAAATATGGCCCGCGGGCTATGATAAGTTG